TCAGTGAGACCAAATGAGACCTGCACACACCCCAGCCAATGGGATGGCTTCCCCTAGAGCCAGAGAGTCAGTGAGACCAAATGAGACCTGCACACCCCAGCCAATGGGACGGCTTCCCCTGCAGCCAGAGCCAGGGAGACCTGCACACCCCAGCCAATGGGACGGCTTCCCCTGCAGCCAGAGCCAGGGAGACCTGCACACCCCAGCCACCTTCTGCACCCATGAGGCCTCAGACCAACCCCCTGCTCACCTCCTCGGTAACATAAGGGGACAAAATGAAAGACACAGACTTCCAAAGGCCCCCACCGGGCACCACACCCAGAGAGCAGTAAGCAAGAGGAAGTGGGGGCCTCCTTGGACTTGCCCACTTTTTTTCGTTTTTTGAGACAGGGTTTCTCTGTGTAGCCCTGGCTGTCCTAGCACTTGCTCTGTAGCCCAGGCTGGCCTCAACTCAAGAGATCCTCCTGCCTCTGCCTCCCTGTGCTGGGATTGAAGGTGTGCGCCACCACCGCCCGGCTAGACTTGCTCACTTTTAACTTGACTTCTCCCAGGGCAAGGAAAACGTCAGAAGAGGAGAGTGTTGGGCTAACGGGTTTGGTGCTGGAGCCGCCGGGCTGGGCTTCCCACCCTCTACTCACCATCATCATGCGGTGCAGATCTGCCATCTCGGGCACTCGGCCCTTACAGAGCAGGATGACGGTGCCTGTGGGGTCCAGGCCCCTCCGGCCCGCCCGGCCCGCCATCTGCACGTACTCCCCGGGCAGCAGGTCCCGGAAGGCGGAGCCGTCATGTTTGCGCATGGAGTCGAACACCACTGTCCTCGCTGGCATGTTCACCCCCATGGCAAAGGTCTCAGTGGCAAACAAGACCTGGGACGGGGGGAAACTGGATCAGCCAAAAGGTCTGTATATGCCCCGCTCTGGCAGGGCTCCCCACCTTGGAGCCTGGTCTCACATCACTGTCTACAGGACGCCCTTACCTCTCCAGGAAGACCCACAGTGCAGGCATTTGTCCTGACTCTGCTTAGGTAATTACCTGGTCTTTTACTTCATCTCCCACACCTCCATCCCCAGCCGGAACTGTGCTCAACCAGCATCTTTTTGTGTGAACACTACTGCAGGATGGTTGGCTTTGTGCTTGTATGATTTAGCTCACACAGATGCAGCTATACATCCAATTGTCTTCTGCTTTCCACATCCATCCACGTTCTTGTAGTTTTATCAGTCATTGCTCGTGACTGGGGTAAGTGATGTGTCTCTGTGGGGGACACCCCCTAATTTACCTAGCCACTGTCCCAGTGAAGGGCATTCTGTTTCTCAGCCAGTCTTTCAGCCCTGGTCCCCCAGAAGCACAGGCTTGAGATCTGAGCCCTGTCATCATAAACAGGAACATAGAGAACAAAGCAAGTGTGTATGTTCCCTCATAGACCAAGGTGGAATTTCTTGCCATAAATACCCAAGAATGACTCTTGGTGTCAAAAAGTATACTGTATTTAATTTGCTTAAACAGCGCCGAGACAGAAAAACAGCAGCAGTACTTGGATGCCAAACTGGCAACGGCCCACATCCCTGGCCACAGCCGCAGTTAGCGAGCTTCCTGAATGCAGCAGCCGCCCTCATCACTGAAGCCGCGTTCCCTGAACAAGGCTCTCTAACTGTTAGCGACTTTTCCTGTGTTTGCCCGCGGTGGAGACTGCTCTTCTCGGGACCTCTGGCGATGTATCAGATACATCCCCATTTACGGTTAAGGTGAGAAACGTAGAGTTCAGTGAGGTTATGAAGCTGGAATTCAAACCCGGATAGCCTGGGTCCAGAGCCCGGGTTCTTAACCACTGCACTGCCCTGCCTAAGTCTGGCCCCTCTCGCTCGCCTGCTCACCTTGACCAGCCCTCGGCTGAACAGCATCTCCACGATCTCCTTGAGGATGGGCAGGATGCCGCTGTGGTGCACGCCCAGGCCCCGGCGAAGGAGCTCTGACATGTGCTGGACCTGCAGGGGAGAGGAGGGAGGAGGGGAGCAGGTCGGAGAAGGCCTGGAGGCCCCCTCAGCAGGGGCAGGGCTCAGATTAACACACACACACACACACACACACACACACACACACACACACACCGTATCCACAGGGACACACCTGGGGCAGCTGTCGGTCGGAGCCTCGGAGCCGAGCAAGGCATCGCTGCAGGAAGAGGTGGATCTCGCTCTTCTCCGAGCTTGTTGTGAGGTCAAGAGAGGTGAGGCCCGACGCCTGCTCATCACAGCGGCCTCGGGAAAAGGTGAACACCACCACAGGCAGCTGAGCCCGGGCCCGGAGGGAAGCCAGCAAGGACAGGTACACCCCACGGTCCTGAGGTTACGTGCAGGTGGTAGAGTCACGTTTCAGTAAGTTTACATAGAGCAGGATGCAGACCGCGAGTCCACCCCTCCCCGCAGGGCCCGGGGCTGAAAGGGTGGATGAAATGCAGGCTTTGGCAGCGATGACAGCCCACAGCCCTCACCTGTGCAGGGCCCCCCTGGTGCGTGGGCTGCTTGGCCCCAAAGGTCTGGGCATGCTTGCTCATTCTCTCCTTCTTGGCCTCCACTGCAGCATAGTACCTGAGTGCGGGGCGAGGTGGCGTGAGGCCCAGCCCAGGCCCGGCCGTGACACCCAGCCCTGGACTTACCCCTTGGTGTGGAAGGCCCCTCGGGAGTCCAGCAGCAGGAAGAGCTCCCCCTGCGTCTTGGGGCTGTTTCCTGTGAAGAGATAGTGTTCCAGGGGGACGGGACGGGCGACCGTGCTGATCACGTAGATCTGCCGCCGCTTCAGCCGCCTGGAGGGGGAGAGGGCAGCAGGTCAGAGGAGAGACGGAAAGGAACCCCATCTTCCAGTTCTCTCTGGAGCCTAGAATGGGAGGCCACTAGCCACACCTTCACCTCCACTTCAGTTCCCACTGGTTCAAAGACTCACTTCTGCCCTATCCCGCCCTCTAGGACACAGAGTGTGCCTGTCCAGGCACATGGCTCCCACCATCCCATCCCTCTAGGACACGCAGTGTGCCTGTCCAGGCAAATGGCTCCCTCCATCCCATCTCAGCGTGCAAAAATGTCGGGGGGGGGGCGGTTCAGCAGCCACCCGGGTGCGGCTGTTCCACAGCTCCACACCCCGACCCCTCTCCTCACTCTAGTGGCCCGAGCTCCCCGACCCCAACCCAGGAACACCACAGTCCTCTTCACTCAGGCCCAATCCAGGCCTCTCACCCAATCCAGTCAGCAAACTCCAGGGCATTGGGGACGGTGGCACTCAGAAGGATGATGGAGACGTGGTCGGGCAGCATGATGAGCACCTCCTCCCACACGACCCCACGCTGGACACACACGGAGGAGACAGGTCGGTCAGGGAGCAGAGGGCAGCAAGGTCCTCGGCGTGTGGGACAGGGCTATGTGACAAGGCCCCCCCACCACCACTCACCTCAGCATCATTGATATAGTGGACTTCATCAAAGATGACCCACTCCAGGTCCCGGATGACGTCTGAGCCACTGTACAGCATGGAGCTGGGGGGCGGCAGCATGGAGCTGACCCCTCAACAGCCCCATCTCTACCCCGCTTCTGCAGGGATGCTCACCCCCCACCCAAAACCCACCTGGTTCTGAGAGCCCCGTTCTCACCGGAGGATCTCCGTGGTCATGATGAGGCAGGAGGCCTCTGGGTGCAGCTGGACATCTCCTGTGAGCAGCCCCACGTCCCCGAACGTGTTCCGGAAGTCCCGAAACTTCTGGTTGCTCAGGGCTTTGATAGGGGACGTGTAAATGGTACTAGAAACAGGGCATGGATCAGTCAGTCAGTCTTTCCTCACAGACTCACAGCTGGGATACCCTGCCTTCCCACTGGAGTCCCCCCTCACACTAACAGCCCTCAAATCCTCCTTCATGACAGCAGCCTCTCCTGAGCCAGCCCAGGGCATCTTTCTGCCCCGCCTCTCTACTAGACCTTTCCGTTCCTCTCTGAACCCCATCTCTAAAGGACAAGGAGGTGGCTGGGGAGGGAGGGCAGGCTGGGGAGGGAGGGCAGGCTGGGGAGGGAGGGCAGGCTGGGGAGGCGTGTGTCCCGTACCGCGTCATGTGTTTCTGGGCCAGGGCGATGGCGTACTCGGCCACCACTGTCTTCCCGGCAGATGTGTGAGCCGCCACGAAGACAGAGTCATGCTGCTCCAGATGCAGGATGGCCTGCTTCTGGAACACATCCGGCTCAAACGCCCACTGTGTGAGAGAAATGCGCAGGGCTGCAGGGCGAGAGCCTCTCTGCCTCCTCACGGGCGCACAGGGCAGAGAAGAGAAGGCCAGGACAGGCCGGGACCAAGGAGCAAGACCAGCCTGGAAGGCGTGGGGGCCGTGGTGAAGAGAGAGGACAAGGCTGGGCTGAGGGGCAGGGCCAGGGTCTGCTCTACCAGGAGGTGGAGTAAGGCCTGGGCACGGTACCTGGAAGGCAGGCTGAGGAATGAGACGGTAAAAATCGCCCACAGGGGACGTGACATCCACAGGTACAGCCCACTGTTCCTGAGGGGGAGGCTTGGGAGGCTCCAGGGGGGATGCGATCGTGGATGCTTCCTGGAAAAGTCAGGTGGGAGTGATAAAAGCCAGAGAACTCTTGATCGCCACTCATCCCCGAGATCTCACTGCTACCCTCAACCCCACCCCTTCTTGCTTGCCTCCATCCCTGGTGACGTCTAACCTTCAACACTAGATCCTCCAAACTGCTTGCTCGGACCAGGGGGGTGCTGCAGGGAGAGGCGGAAGCAGGGTCCGCCCCAGGGCCTCCTGCGGCCTCACTCTCGTCCTCGTCACCTCCACTCAGATCCAGAGGCTCCAGCAGACAGCTGAGGCTGAGCAAACCTGGCCCAGGAGCCTGGTGATCTGAGGGACAACAGCCACCTTGTCACATCCACACGTCTGTGGGAGCAGGGCATCCCTACAAATGCTTATCAGACTCACCCTTGGGGCCAAAATCCACCCCTTTCTTGAAGCCAGGTGGGACAGTGAGAAGATCTGCAAGATGAGAATGAGAGGCGGCGTCAGCCGCCACATCATATGACACAGACATTCACAGTGCTGTGCTCGAGGGCGAGGCAGCTGTGGCCATTTTTAAAGGGCTACTAGAGAGAACACCTTTTCCCTTGGGGGTGAGAAGGATCCCTCTCTGTAGTTTGTGGAAGTACAGGACAGCTAGAAGCAGCCTGCTGGGCCCTCCTCAGACACAGGACCACTTCACCTTTCTCAAAGTCTATCTCCTCCTCAGCTTCCTCCCGAGTGCTCAGATCTGTTATGGTGGGCTCGTCCATCCCACCTGGAGAAAATGAGGACTCAGCATCAGCAGGGACCCTTTCCCTGGACACCAAGACACTCACTCTTTACCACCGTCACGTACAACATACCTGGCCAGAAAGGATACTGTGTCGGGTTGCCCCACAGTGACTGGGAGGCCGGCCCTGGAGGCCGGCGCAGGGACAAGGAGGTCGTGGCTGACAGGTTTGTGTTCTCTAGCAAGACCTGAGTGAGACAAGAGGTTGGAGTCCCAGTGAGACCAAGCCTGCTCTGCCCTGTTCTCCCAATTCTGTGTCTTGTGGTCCCTGACCTCTCACCTCCTTGTAGCCCAGGATCTGGCCTGTGGTTGGGTGTCTCTGGGCCTGAAGGTCGGACGGGACAGGAGCCCCCAAAGCAGCCAGGAGAGACCAGGGATCCCTCTTCCTCTGCCATTTTCTGGAGAGGAGGAGAGGAATTTTGGAGTCAGCTTCGTCCCGTCCCTGCTCCCTCCGGTCGGTCCCTCGCCCTAGGTGGGCCCACACAGACTTCTCACCGAGCTGAGTACTCCACACCATGCAGAGGCAGCCAGGCGGGAGACGAGAGGAACAGCTGTTCTGCTTCTTGCTGTAGATCCGGGGCACAGGGGGGGAGGCCGTGGGGAAGCTGGGACAAGGGCAAGATGGGAAGCACTGAGTCAGGAGAGCAGAGGGGCAACAACAGAGGCCATGGGATTTGTGTTTGGATCCAATGGTAGGTGTCTCCAACAGAAGCTGAGGCAATCAGATGAGCAAAGCCCACCTGCAGCTGAAGGACACTAACCACAGCAAACTGGGTTTCAGATGCATAGAGGCCAGACATAATAATCTGCACCTTTTGTTTTGTTTTGTTTTGTTTTGTTTTGTTTTTTCGTGTGTAGCTTTGGAGCCTGTCCTGGAACTCACTCTGTAGCCCAGACTGGCCTCGAACTCACAGAGATCCGCCTGCCTCTGCCTCCCGAGTGTGTACACTACCACCGCCCGGCAATTTCCATTATTTTAAGACAGGGCTTCAGGTACCCGAGGCTTGCCTCCAACTTGATATATATGTATATCAGAGAATGAGCTTGAACTAGGGAGTGACAAGCCTGTGGCACCACACTTGAGTGTAGCGCAAATTCTAATTGGTCTTAATAAAAACCCAGAGCCATTATCGGGGTAAATACTGAAAGATCAGAGAACCAGAGCAGCCAGCCAGCCACTAGAGAGATGTCTTACCTCTCCCTAATCCTCAGACCAAAGGGGCTGAGCTCTGGTCTCCTCCCACCTTACATTCCTCTCTCTGCCCAGCCATATCACTTCCTGCCTCCACCTTCCTAGTGCTGGGATTAAAGGCATGAGCCTCCACTGGATGCCTCTGTTTCTCCTTTAAACTGGATCAAGCCCAGGGTGGCCTTGAACTCCCGATATTCCTGCTTCCTCCTCCCAAGTGCTGGAATTAAAGGTGCCTCTATGGTTAACTAATGGGTTAGCTTTATTTGTCAGAACACAAACAAAATGTCACCACACTTCCGTGTCATGCGGAGCTGGGGATCAAACCGACACTCTACCCACTGAGCTATAGACTCAGCTGGGAATCTGCATCTTAGGATTACTTATTAGTAGTAATACTATGCATAGACGTATATAGGTATTTGTGTAACCTGTGGTTATGGGTGCACCCAGGCTATGCACGTGTGGCACCCAGAGGACATCTGTGTGGAGCTGGCTCTCACCCTCTCCCCTTACATGTGTTTCCTCAGGCTTGCAGAGTACGCACTGCATCGGCTAAGCCAGGGATTCTCACCCTTCCTAACGCTGCAACCCTTCAAACCGCTCCTCATGTTGTGGTGACCGCCAACCATACAATTATTTTGTTACTACTGCATAAGTGTAACTCTGCTGTCGTTGTGAGTCGTAATGTGAATGTCTGATATGCAGCATATCTAACATTCGACCTCTGCGAAAGGGTCATTCGCCCACCAAAGGGGTCGAGGCCCACAGGTTGAGAACGTCTGGGTTAAGCTTTTTCTTTTCCTTTTTTGAGATAAGATCCCACTATGTAGCGCTGGCTGGCTGACCTGGAACTTGATAGGAAGACTACACTGGCCTCCAACTCAAAAGGTCCGCCTGCCTCTGCCTGTCTCTGCCTGCCCAGTGCTGGGGTTAAAGGCGCGCGCCACACCCGGCTTCAGATTCCCGGGTTTAAACGCGAGGTCTCAGCCAGGTGCCCCGAGGCGGGCGGGCGGGCAAGGGCAGTTCCGGGAGCCGGGTCTCCGGCACTCCGGGTTCTGACCCCCTGGATCCCCGGGAGGCCGGGGTCGGTGCAGCCCCGGCGGGGGCCCGAGGGACGGTGTTCCGGCGCAGGAAGGCGAGGTCAAACTAGATCCTCGCGTGAGCAGGGGTGGCCCGGGGGGGTCCGAAGTCACTCACGGTGGTCTCCGGAGCCCCAGGCTCGTTCAGCAGCTCCCAGCGCCCAGTGCACCCCACTTCCAGCGCTCGAAGGGGCAGGTTCAGGGGGTCTGGGGGAGGCAGCACTGCGGGGGAAGGGTCACAGGTGAGAGGTCAAAAGCCACTCCTCGTCCTATTCCGCTCCCCTCCCCTCCCCTCCTCTCCCCTCCCCTCCCCCTCACCGAGTCTCTCGGTCTCCATCATCTTGAAGCCCCGGCAGCTGTCGCGCAGCCCGGAAACTCAGAGTGGCCGCGGCGTGGGCCCCGCCCCGAGATGGGCGGAAATAGAGATTTTTTTTCCCGACACGCCCCCCTCTCCCTCCACCATTCCCCGTCGGGAGCGTGGGCGAGCGCGGCGCCGAAGCCGGACTCGGGAGCCGGGCAAGGCCGGGCGGAAGTCGCTGCGGCCCGCCGCCTTGGTTACCGCGTGTCCCGCCCCTTCTACGTCATCGCCGCGAGCCCG